GGGGTGTCATCTAATTGTTGGGTGAACTGATTTGAATTTAATCCTACCTGACTCAACATCAAGTGAGTACTTGTCAATTGCGAGGTTCATGGTCTGATAGGCAGTGTTGGCAAAGTCTTCCAAGATTAAATAGACAACATTGGTGACTCCTCTGTGTACTGGTTTACCAAACCTCATCCTACTGTTTACCACAATGCTGCCATTTCTAAAGTTAAGGATCTCCAGGTTCTGGAAGTTGTTCAGGTTTGACTCCAGGTATGGGACCAGCTATGAGGTGAAGATAAAGATGTGTTAGTAGCATGGCATATGAATCTGGAAGGTTCCTATTCACTGAGTCATGATTCTTTGAATCCTCACCAGCTGGAGGAAACGCTGCTCCAGAGCCTTGTATTCCGGGGAGCTCTTGTTGAACAGGTCCATTGAGAACACCATATTGGTCACCCTCAAGCTGAAGAAAATTGTTAACGCCCTGCCAGGTCGGGTTGGCAATGCAATGGCATCTAAATCAGAGGCCTGAGCTCCACTGGAGAAGCCACTGCTTTCCCCTTCAATCGACACCCCGCCATACTGGAAGACATCAAAGCTGACAGCGATGCTGGGCACATCAGAGACACCATGTTCAAAAGGTTGGAGTTCAGTCACAGGAACGTGGTCATCAACTTTCTGCACAGAGGAAGGAACAACGACTGCTGGTTTTGACTGTGGATCTGAAAATAGAGTGTGTACTGGGGTTTCACTAAGATCTTCATGTCTTGTGTCCTCACTGAAAACCACAGCTGGTTTTGACTGAGGAACCTTTGGAAGTGGTGTGTTTTTTGAAGCTTCATTAAGATCTTCATGGGTTCGATGCTCATGGTGAACCACTGCTGGTTTCGACTGACGACCATCTAAAGACGGAGCCCTCACTGGAGCTTCAGGAACATCTTCATGGTGCTCATAATGAATCACTGCTGGTTTTGACTGAGGACCATCTGGAGAAGGAGTGCTTACTGGAGGTTCAGGAAGATCTTCATGGTTTCGATAATCATGGTAAACCACTGCTGGTTTCGACTGACGACCATCTAAAGACGGAGCCCTCACTGGAGCTTCAGGAGCATCTTCATGGTCCTGATGACGAATCACTGCCGGTTTTGACTGAGGACCATCTGGAGAAGGAGTACTTACTGGAGGTTCAGGAAGATCTTCATGGTTTCGATAATCAAGGTGAACCACTGCTGGTTTTGACTGAGGACTACTTGAAGATGGAGTGCTTCTTGGAGCTTCAGGAAGCTCTTCATGGTGTTCATGGTAAACAACTGTTGGTTTTGACTGAGGACCATCTACAGGTTCTGTGCTTACTGGTGCTTCATTAAGATCTGTATGCTTTGTGTGCTCATGGTGAGCTACTACTGGTTTTGACTGAGGACCATATGGAGGAGGAGTGCTTGATGGAGCTTCAGGAAGATTTTCATGGTGTTCATGATAAATCACTGCTGGTTTTGATTGAGGAGCATCTGAAGTTGGTGTGATTACTGAAGTGTTAGTAATATCTTTATACCTTGTGTGTTCATGGTGAAACACTGCTGGTTCATTGTGAACCAGATGGTCTAACCCATCTGGAGACTGTGTGCTTATTAAGGATACAGTAAGCTCTTCATGGTTTAGTTGCTCATGATGAATCAGATCATCATCATCTGGCACTGAATCTGACACTCGAGTGAATGGCGAGTCCTTCTCTGGTGAGAGTGCAATGCTACTGTGGTGATCTGGCCTTACTGATGAAGTTGGGACTGGAGTAGTAGTTGTTGTAATGGCGATCATCACCTCATCCACAATCAGGTCCTCATCTTGTACTTTATTTGCTGGTGCTGTTGTTGTTGTCCCGATATGCTGTTCTTCCAAAATTTCAACCCGATCTTGGGCTTTTATTCCTGCCAGTAGCAGTTCAGGTTTTTCTGTAAGAACTTCAACTATTGATGGTGCATCAGTGATGGCATCAAAGCTGAAATCACTGCCCGTGATTGTGTGTGGGGTAGCAGGGCTGTCCCTATCAGGTACTTTAGGTGGTCCAGATATAACTGTAACTTGAACATCTACATTCTCAGGTCCATTTTCTGCATATTTAGATTCAGTTGTAACCATTGAAAGCTCTATTGTTGTTTCACTAGGCACTTCCACCTCTTCAGTGGTTTTATGAAGCCCAATAGCTAAATCCGATGGTCCAGTAAAAACAGCTTCCTCCTGAGTCCAAGCCCCAGGTTCAGGAGAATCTGTAACTACTCCCACAGGGGTTTGAGGCTCAGTCAAGGAGTAGTCATCATACATGCCAGACGCTTCCACTGTTTGTACAGAAAACTCAACAGCCAGAGTTTCTTTGGGAGAAAAAACAGGTGCATGAGTTGTGGTTGAGTATCGGGGATCAGTGCTTATGTGCGGAGTCACCAGGACCTCATCCAGAAAAGGTTTTTCAAAATGTCCTTCTGACGATGCTTCTTCAAAAACAGGAGCTGCTGTTGCTTTTAAAAGAAATTCTACTCCCATGTCAACCAAAACAGATTCCTTAGTAGTTAATGGTTCAACAGCAACCTCGCCTAAATCAATGTCCTCCTCTTCAGTCTCCTCCAGGTCAGGCGGTGGGAGCATGTCCAGGCTTCCACCTTCATTGTCACTGAATGTCACTGAAGTCTGCCAAATCCAAAGATCAGTTTCCTGGTCGTCTCCAGAGGACCCAGAGCCAGAACCATCATTCTGAGTGAGCCCAGGTATTGTCTGCTGGTTTACAGGAGGGGGTTGTCTGGCTGCAGAGGAAATTTCAGGACTGACAGCATCATTCTCTCGGTTGGCTTTGTCACTGGCAGGGGGAGAATTACTCAAGAGGAATCCCTCATCTTCAATTTTTCCATCACCTGTAGAAACGAGAAAATCAAGAACAGAACAGGTTTATTATATATTATTATATATTCTTGTATATATATAAAATATCTAATATTTTATATACATATACATATATACATATATATAACAACACCCAGCACGCCCCTGCGGGCGGTTTATCCTTCAAGCTCGGGTCCTCTACCAGAGGCCTGGGAGCTTGAGGGTTCTGCGCAGTATCTTTCAGGTCAGTTCCTCTCGCATTCAACTGGCCCACCCAGGGATGCCAGTTGAATGCGAGAGGAACTGACCTGAAAAATAGGATAATGGCCAAGCTTGAAACCTGGATCCCCCGTAGCCGGTTACCAAGATTACGTGAAGTACCTTCAGAAGGTCTGCTAGATGATGTTAATGCAGCACTACGGACAATACCTACAAGAATACATTGGGAAGATGGCCCCAACTGACCGAGTGCTCAGTGAATACCTCAGGCACCAGAAACCCAAGAAAGAGGAGGGAGATGAGGAACCATCATGGAAGGACAGGCCCCTGCACGGTATGTACCACCGGCAGATAGAGGAGGTGGCTGATATCCAGAAATCCTACCAGTGGCTGGACAAAGCTGGACTGAAAGACAGCACAGAGGCACTAATCATGGCAGCACAAGAACAAGCTCTGAGTACAAGATCCATAGAGGCTGGGGTCTATCACACCAGGCAAGACCCCAGGTGCAGGCTGTGTAAAGATGCCCCAGAGACAATCCAGCACATAACAGCAGGGTGCAAGATGCTAGCAGGCAAGGCATACATGGAACGCCATAACCAAGTGGCCGGCATAGTGTACAGGAACATCTGTGCCGAGTATAACCTGGAAGTCCCGAGGTCAAAATGGGAGACGCCCCCAAGGGTGGTGGAGAATGACCGAGCTAAGATCCTGTGGGACTTCCAGATACAGACGGACAAAATGGTGGTGGCTAACCAACCGGACATAGTGGTGGTAGACAAACAGAAGAAGACGGCCGTAGTGATCGATGTAGCGGTTCCGAATGACAGCAATATCAGGAAGAAGGAACACGAGAAGCTGGAGAAATACCAAGGGCTCAGAGAAGAGCTCGAGAGGATGTGGAGGGTGAAGGTAACGGTGGTCCCCGTGGTAATCGGAGCACTAGGTGCAGTGACTTCCAAGCTAGGCGAGTGGCTCCAGCAGATCCCGGGAATAACATCGGAGATCTCTGTCCAGAAGAGCGCAGTCCTGGGAACAGCTAAGATACTGCGCAGAACCCTCAAGCTCCCAGGCCTCTGGTAGAGGACCCGAGCTTGAAGGATAAACCGCCCGCAGGGGCGTGCTGGGTGTTTTATATATATATACATATATATATATATATACACACACACACACATATATATACATATATATATATATACACACACACACACATATATATATACCTGTGCACTGGTCAATTTTTCCTGATTTTTTCAAAATCATCCTTTTGACTATTAAACCAGCATTTTCTTGCTCTTTGTAAATCTAAAATATAAACAACAAACTCCAATCTGCCGAATTCAGAATCACCTTCAAGAATTTAGATAGTGTTCAATTCAAGCCTTAGAATTTTTGACCAAGCTATTGAACAATTATAAGATAAACAAGTGTGTTCACACTATACTTCAATTTAAAATTCACTTTTCTGTACAGTAAGTAAGAATTTACTGTTTCGAGTCTCCAGATCGAAGGTCTTCTGTGGAAATTCAGGGTTCAGTGGAGACGCTGTACTCTCATCAAGCAAAAAGACATCATTCTCGCTTGTCCTGTCAAGCTGTGGAGCTTTCCACTGGCTGAAAGGATCGAACAGGAAGTCCTCCTTCTTTGAGAAAACATCATTGTCATCCGCCTCATGCGTCGGTGCATCGGGAGGCTTCTCTGCAGCGAGGACATTGTCCTTGAAACAGAAATCATTTAAAGAGTGTCATCAACATAAAATTGTATATATTTTACTAGTTTCCAAGAACTATGATTTGCCATATTCTCCATGTGAGAGAGTTAGCAGAACAGTATAAATGCACACTCATCTCATGTTTACTTTAATTTTTTATCAACAGTAATACAGCTGGATGCTTGTACTTTATAAGATGGTCGATACTTTAAGGAAATGAACATATATAGAACATGTACCGATAATTTTAAGTATGTTTAAGTTCGACTCACCATGTTGTCAAAGGTGTCAAATGGTTGACTTGTTGGTTTCACAGGAGGCAACAAGTTCTCTGCTGCAGAAAGAAACAGGATCAGTTAGAGTTGAAGATCTGTCTGATGGAATATATTTATTTGTTATCGTGAATAAGAGTAAAATGGATTTGCACTCAGTTTTGTTTTGAACTGAGCTTTAAATAGTTTTTGGTTTTATTTGAGTTGTTAAAACCTTATTATTTATTTCTCAATAATAATATTAAAACACTTGAGGTAAAGTGTCGGGTATGGTACCATTCTCCAACAGCAGTGGGTCACCCTGTGTCTCCAGGCTATTGTTGGTCATGAAGTTGTCTTTGTGCAGAGCCTCAGTGATGTAGTTGCGGAAGTCAGTGATGGTGTAGACAACAGTGGGCTGCTCAGCGGAACCAGGGTAGTTCTTCTCCACAAGGTTGTTCTGCAGAGAGATGAAATCCAACGTGTCGTTGGCAATCCCACTCCCATCCACCTCCAGAGTGATGGCATAGTGCACAAGGACCACCAAACCCCTAAGAGGACGAAAACAGGACTGGTCAGCTTGTTTCACGATACTACAGGAACCTGAATTTCATCAGGTTAGTTTGGTAGGGAATTATCAGGCAACATTGGGAAATTATCTTGACATCAAGATGTCTTTTCTACACTAACCCAATGCCGCTGAATCTTTGATTTTATTTATTTTTTGCTGTGTTTTACTTGGATCTATTTGAAAGAGTAAGTGTAAACACAAAAAAATATTTTATTTTATATGCTGAAATATGCAGAAAATAGGTTTAAATGTTAAACAAATTTCTTCAAGTTGCATATAACTAATTTTTTGCTTGATGCAATGTGCATAAAGTTAAAAGATTAAAACTGTTAAAATAATTTTTAAAAAGAGACTTTCATTTGATTCAATTTTATATGATAGATTATGCAGAAAAAATGAATTGGGCTGAAATGTCTGTATTCAGGTTGTGTATAATGTTTTTATAAAGTAATAAAGTAACTAATTACCTTTTAAAATAAGTAATCAGTAAAGTAACGGGATTACCTCCTTGAAGAAGTAATCACTAATTGGTAACTAATTACTATTTTCAAGTAACTTGACTAACAGTGATCAAGACATTATCTGGAAATGTTAAAAAGATGTTGCTTTATTATCCATAAATTATCACAATGTCAATTAAGATAAATACTGGCAAATTGTTATGAGATTATCACTAACATCTGAGGAAATTATATCCACTGCAGTTCTTAATAAAACCTACAAGTTATAAGGCTATATTTAGTGAAAAGAGTAACTTTTTACTGATGTCTGATAATGTTGTTTCAGCAGTTTGTTTCTTTAAATCACAGCTGACATGCAAACATCTATAATCTGATGATTTTACAGCCTGACTGTTTTCCTCCTGCAGCTCTCAGAGTTCAGGTAGCTTTAGGGGCTCACAAAGACAGACTAACCTGAGGTGGGGTTTCCCGGACAGAATAACAGTGAGCCTGTCATAAACCTTTAACGGTAACACTACAGGGTCTACAGGTGGCCTGAAGCTACCCAACGACTTATCCCACTTAAGAGGTGACTGTTGGTAAAGACATTAAGCGGCAAGTAGAGCAGAGCTACAGCAGAGCTGTTATTTACTTCAAAGGGTAGGTCACAGGGGTTGTGAAGACATGATGACGTGGAAAGCATGACATTTGGACTCATAATCTACAGGGTAGCTTATCTCCACACGAGCTTTGAGAAGTTACTTTACTGTATTGTCTGTATCAGGTAGCGAATCTATAAAATCAGGGGATAATAGAAAAACTAACGTTTGTCCAACTTACCGCTCCAGATCCTTCTGGGGTCTGAAAAAACAGGGAAAACACAACATAATATAACTAAAACAATAGTCAATGACTTATTTTAAAATTTGTATCTTTTCTTTAGCAAAACTAATTTTACATGAGGGCTTGATAGGTGCTCTTTTTGTACTGTATGCCAGCTGAATTGTACCTGAATTCCACAATGTAAACCGTCTTGAAGCCCGGCACTCTATGAAAGGCGTCTTCAATCTGTTTGTCGAAGAAAGGAAGAAAACATGAGTGAAAACCTCTAACATCAGAGTCAAACCAGACTTTTGTGAGGCCAAGTTAGCAACTTATAACATATATATATATATGTGTAAAAATAAAGTCCTTTTATGAGATCACAGCTTTTTATATTGGTTGAACAACAAGTGGGTGAGGCTTCTGTTTCTCAAATGACTATATTAATAGGGGATATCCATTTTTAGGATGTCGTGCTAAACCAAGGGTAGAAAAACATTGTGTGGAACTGAGCATTTAGAAAAGTCTGAAACTCACAGAGATTTCTTTTATGTACACTGACCTCAGTGCACTCTAGGTCTAATCCAGGTTCTGTTTCTAGTAGAATAGGCCTGAAACACCTTATCCAGGAAGTGTTCAGCACCAAATCAGCACCACTACAGTGGTGGGTCTTATCACCAACAGTGATGAGACAGCTTACAGGGAGGAGGTCAGCGCCCTGACCCACTGGTGTCAAGACAACCATCTCACCCTCAACGTCGCAAAGACAAAGGAGTTGATAGTGGACTTCCGGAGGTGCAGAGAAGTACACACCCCCATCACCATCAACGGCGCTGCTGTGGAGAGAGTGAGCAGCTTCCGGTTCCTTGGTGTACATCTGGCTGAGGATCTTACGTGGTCAGTACACACAAACAAAACAGTGAAGAAGGCGCAGCAGCGCCTCTTCTTTCTCAGGAGACTGAAAAGATTCAGCATGAGCCCCCGCATCCTCAGGACCTTCTATCACTGTGCCATTGAGAGCATCCTCACTGGATGCATCACCACCTGGTATGGCAACAGCACCGCCTACAACTGCAAAGCTCTCCAGCGAGTAGTGCGGTGCTCTGAACGGATAATTGGAGGTGAGCTTCCCTCCCTCCAAGACATCTACAGGAAGCGGTGCCTGAGGAAAGCGGGGAGGATCATCAAGGACTCCAGTCACCCCAGCCATAAACTGTTCAGACTACTTCCATCAGGAAGGAGGTTCTGCAGCATCCGGTCCCGTACCAGCAGACTGAGAGACAGCTTTTTCCATCAGGCCATCAGACTGCTGAACACTTCATAGACACCTCAGCTTCACTACTGGAACTTTAACATTATGCACTCCATACTGTACAGTAACGCCACTGTTTTGCACATGTCTCACTCTGTATATTTTATTTTATATATTTTATTTATTGTTTACTCTATTTAATTTGTAAAATATGTGTACACACACACACACACACACACGTAGAAAAATATTTAGTATACACATCCAGAAATGCATATACTATTATATATTGTACATATATTTATTAGTTTCAGATGTAGCCATTCTTGTATTTTGCTTGTTTACATTATTGTATTTTGCACAACTCTGTTGCTTGTGAAGCTCGCACACAAGAATTTCACTCACATGTGCTGTACCAATGTACCTGCACATGTGATGTGACAATAAAAGTGATTTGATTTGATTTGATTTAAATCATCCGAGTGGTCACAAAAGCCAAGTTTATAGTTTCACAAGGCAGACTGGTCCTAGGTGTGAGGCTAGACTAAGAGTGATTATGAATATCACTATGATAAACTACAACAGCAAAAACCAAGTTATTCTGCCTAGAACAAAGTTACCAAGCACCTTACTCTAGTCCCAGGCCAGGGTTAGTAGCTTAGGCTTGACTGCCTGGTTGAACGAGCCTTAATCCATGGGCTTCAGTGTATTATGGACTGAGCAGTCAGGGCATGATATTAGAGGCAGAGCTGATGTTGTTTTGCTCGGAACTGCTAAAGAACTGATGAATATTTCTGGAGAGAAGGTGGACTTCTCATTTGTCAGACAGTCTCATAGTTGAGATGAAAATAATCTCTTTAAATTACTTTTGGCTGTGAAATGTGTGCAGCTAAAAGCTGCAACGAAGGATGAGTGGACTCAAACTGTCAGAGAAAGAAACATTGACCTTTACTTAAGACTGCAATCTGTAAAGATTTAATACACTGTGAATAATTAACTATATAAATATATGGCTTTAAGTTGTAACAGTGGAAGTAAGTCTTTTTCCATATGAGTATTGTTCATGTCAGCCCTTTTTCTGCTTTAAATTATCAAGAAAAATGATCTGCTGATGGTGAGATGTACTCTGAAGACCTGCTAATGTTCATAAAGCTGGAGGTTTATACAGTCTTCTCAGAGAGTGACCACTGTGTGCATTTTTAAACACGTATTAGCTCTTCAAGTTGGAAGTCTTCCCACTTTGTAAAACCATCATGGAAAGACATAAACTGATAAATGGTTGGCCATTCGGTTTCTTGATGCCCAGTTAAAGTCATGCTTATCTGGATAAAAAACAGCATTTTGCATTTGCACTGTGCTTCTTCTTCTTCATGTGTGTTTCTGTGCTGCAGCAGAGCTCCTGCTGTTTCTATTATCCATTTCATACTCCCTCATTAACAAGCCTGACCCCGATACTTAAACCATAAACTGCCTTCCCGCGTCACTAACGTGGAGTGGAGCCTGAAAGCCTCCCGGCAGTTCGGGAACTCACCAGCGCTCTGCTTTCCTGGCAAAGCAGCTTTTTTTCCAGCAGCTCGTGGTGACTCACTGCTCATATACTGTACTGTGTGTCCTCTGCAGTTTTCCAGCTCTGTTTCTGCCTCATCGGCTCGTATAGCCGATTGCTGGCAGAGGGGAGGAAACTGAGCTCAAAAGCGTGAAGAATCCGAATGCGTGAAAAACAGGCAAAAGCCTTTAAAGACACAGCCAAACTCCTGAGTCTGCAGTTTGTGGGAAACCACAAGCAAGTCAGTTTGGTGATGAGTAAGTATGGTGGACGTCAGAGAAAGTAGTTAAAGAGAAGGAAGGAGGGAAGAAGAGGTGTCAGCAGGAAGCACAGAACCAAAACAAGGAGGAACAAAGTTAAAAACATTCTGAGATAAAAATCATTTCCAGAAAATCCCTGCTGTTTCCAACATAAAATAGCTCACAGAGTACAAACAACAATCATTGAGAAGGAGATGCTCCTCTTTTTAGGCCCCTAGACTCTAAACTGCTACTTTCATATGTTTGCATTTGCTTTGAACAACTTTGTGTTCAACAGACAAAAACCACAGTTACATTAAACAGGTCTCCTGGCACCTATAGCCCCAGGTACAGTGACTTGACCCATGTGAAAAGGGTTAGATAAACCGACACCAAGTAAGTAACAAAGATTGCAGTTCCTCTAATGCAAGGCTGGGGAACTCCAGGCCTCAAGGAACAGTGTCCTGCAGATTTAAGATATTACCCTGGGTCAACACACCTAAATCAAATGATTAGTTTATTACCAGGCCTCTGGAGAACTTAAAGACATGTTGGGGAGGTAATTTAGCCATTTAAATCAGGTGTTTTGGATCAAGGACCCATCTAAAACCTGCAGGACACCGGTCCTTGAGGCCTGGTGTTCCCCCACCCCCCTGTTCTAATGTCTACTTGAGGCTGGCTCCAGCAGTGATTCAGTGTTAGAATATCCACCTTTACAGCAGAAATACACATGTTTACCTGATACAAAAGCCTGTTACAAAAAAAACCCTAATTTCCCCCTTCATAACAACTATACAGGGGATAATTTTTATAACTCATCTGTTTAAATTGTATTAAGACTCAAGGTTTGTATTATTAGAGGCATGACCTCGTAGACTGGCAGACAGATGATGACATATGGAGCTGTAGCTGCTAGCTGTCTTCCAGGCTTCGTGTCAGCAAATCGATTCCCTAGGATAGACTGTGTTTGTGCTGTTGAGCTTTTTGGAGCATTTTAAATGTAATTGTGTGAGTACTAGTATGTTCTGTTCTATGCTTAATTGTACTAATAGGCCATTCAAGAAGTCTCTTTTGGTGAGCGAAATTTTGGGATTTTATTTATATGTTAATTAGCACAAATGTACAAGTATTTGTGTCAGCTTGCTGAGAAAACTAGCTAGCATTTGCCAATAATTTGGGACTCCACTCTGACTTTGACATTTTCACTTCCTACTCCAAAAAAACACCGCACCACCAGACCTAATATTAAGCCTTAAAAAGAGTTTTCAAATCCATTGCACTCACTGAAATAAACTCAATTAAATAGCTGCACTGATTTCATGAAAGATTGACCACAGATTCTAAGGTTCTTCTTCAGATTTGTTGAGTCATTAATATTTGCATTAATATTCTTGGTTTATATGAATGAAAAAAGAATCACACTCCTTCTCCTACTCTTTTTCATTTGACATTTTTGGCTGTTATCTAATGCAAAGAATTTGCAGTCAAGCATATAAAATTCTTTAGAAAAATACCCGTGAGTATACTCTTAATGCTGTATACAAGTCACTGTTCAGGTAATGACTACAGCAGGTATGTTGATATCTCAGAAAGTCATGTATATCCAACCCAACATTTCATAGTGGTAAAGCATCTTAAAAAGTGCACATTACATGGCATGTCTGCACAGACCCCTTCATATATAGAGCAGATTGAAAATATAGTTGACTCACCCTGCGTTTGAAGTGTCTGGCCAGCTGCTGATACTCAAAGCTGCTTGGGTCTCTCAGCGCATCGTTGTAGGTTTCCTCTTTCAGTTTCATGCTCAACTCTACCACCTCATCCTTCAGGGGCCTCGGGGGCAGAAGTAACGTGTCTATCTCATTGCCAATCTAAATTTGAAGGTAGGCATACGGATATGGGGTTGGTACTGGAATGTCATGTATGAAGGGATTACCTCAAGTCATCTGATTAAACATATCTTCTTACCAAGTTCTCCTCCTCATCCTCCAACTTGAAGCCATTGTTTCCAAAAAAGTTGCCATTTACGTCATAAACCCTCTCTGTAAGATCGGGAAAGTTACCATTATTGTATTCGACCACATACTTGGTCGTAACCTCCAAATAGGAAGTAGGGGTAGACTCCTCAGTGGCACCCAGTGTAGTACTTTGTGTTCTCTCTTCAGTGAAATCCACAACTGTTTCTAGGGTGATGGAATCAACTGACTCAGGTGCCACTTCTAGTGGAGTCTCTGTTAAGATTTCATCCACTTCTTCAGTTGGGGAGTCACCCTCAGCTGATTCTTGATCAGGGTCTTCTAAAGCTACCGGGATACTGCCCTCATCTGAGGCACCATCTTCCTTACTGGGAAGCTCTTTAGGAGACTCTGGGGTGACCCCCTTAGGGGTTTCTACCTCTGAAATTGTGTCTGGTTGGGCATCAGTGACAGCTTTTGGAGATGTTTCAAGTGGAGCCTTTGAGATTTCTTCCTCACTTCCCACTTCAGATCCACCTGGAGGTTCCACTGTTATCTCAGGTGCAGATGTCTCTGTGTCTTCTGGAACAACAACAAGCACAGGAGTGATTTCTTCATCAGATTCTGAAGGGGTCTCTGTAACTTCTGGTGAAGTTTCATCTGTTTCTGGATCTTCAAATCCAGCTTCTTTCTCCGTTACCTCTAAGCTCTCAGAGGCAGCTTCTTCTCTGTCGTCAAATGTTTCCCCTTCAGCTGCTTCTTGAGTTTTATTGACAGATGTTAAAACAAAATCAGGTTTATCATCCTCCGTTATTATTTTGGGTTTTGATTGTCTTGTTGGTTCATTTTTTTCACCAGTTTCTTTTATAGATTCAATTTGGGCTGGTTCTGTTGTGGGTTGTGTTTTTTCTGTAGTATCTTTGATGAGTTCGTCTTCTCTTGGTTCTTCTGTGGGTACTGCTTTGAGTTCTGGTCCTTCTGCTTCTTGAACTGGGTCATTTTTGAGTTCAGGTTTCACTGTCATTTCTTCACTTAGTTCTGTTTTTCTTGTCGGTTCTCTCTTGGGTTGTGGTGACTTCTCATGAATCTCTTCTACGGATTTGGCCTCTGTCACTGGTTTTTCTATTAGTTCTGTCTTTTCTGTGGTTTCTTTAACAGGTTCCAGTTCTTGTGCCAATTCTTCCAGAGGTTTAGTCTCTTCTCTGATGACTTCTACAAGTTCTACTTCTTCTGCTGGTTCTATTGTGGGCTCAGTCTCCTTTGTTGTTTCTTCTATGGGTTTGACATCCTTTGTAGTCATTTCTGAAGGTTCTACTATATCTACAATTTCTTCCACAGGTTTGAGAGGTTCAGGTTCATGTAAAGTTTCCACTAAAAGTTTTGGTTGTTCTGTAGTTTCTTCCTTTCTTCCTTCCTCCTGTACAGTTTCTCTAAAGTCATCACTTGTATCATCTTCATCTTTAACTGGTTCTCCTGTAGCTTCTGATATTTTCCCTTCTATCTGTGTTACATGTTTTTCCTCTTCAAAAGGTATTTCTACAACTACCTCAGCTCTTTCTTCTTCTGTTGTGTCTGTTGCGACATCGTCTGAGGTTATTAATGTAGTCTCCATTATAACTGTCGCCTCTTCAGCTTTTTTGTGTAGTTCTTTTGCTGCTGCTTCTGGTGCTGTTACTGTTTGAACTGCAACTTCTTCAGCAACTGTATCTTTTGGCCCTTCTACACCAGTCTGTGTTATTTGTTTAGTCCTATCTACCAGAACAACCTCTTCTTGTTTGACTTCTGCTTTTACCTCCTCTTTTGACACCACTGGTATTTCTTCTTTGCTGTGTTCCTTGGATGTAGTTATCTGTATTGTTGGCGGTTCCTCTGTGACACTATATTTTTCACCTTTGTTATGTTCTAATATTAGAACAGGCTTAGAAGTAACCTCAGCCATTAGTGTTGGTTTGTCCTTTGGAGTGTATTCAACAACTGTTACTTCCATCTTATGTGTTGTCGTCAGAATTGAGGCCTGGGAGGGGACTTCTGTTTCTACATTTGAGGCAGATCCTTGTTTTGGAGTCACATTATTGAATATTTCAGCTTCTTCTTCTGCATCTGTTATGAGTAATACAGTTTCTGTTGCTTCTGTGATGACTTTGGTTACTTCTTGGCTCACCTCTACAACTGCCTTTGAAGGATGTTCTACTGGAGGTGCATGTATTTTGCCTTCAGCTTCTTCAGGAATTGGAAGTGGTATTGCTTCATCTATTGGCTCTTTTAAATCCTCTGAGGGTTTCTCTACAAAATCCTTAGTGAATGTTTTGTCATGGATATCCAGAGATTTTTCTGGAATTCGTTTAATTTCTGTCTCAACAGCATCTTCCGTGGTTGCCTTAGGGATGTGCTGTATCATGACTTCTGAAGGAGCCTCAGAGGTCACCTTCGGATGTACCTTCTGCCCTAATTCCTCCAATGTGATAGTTTCGGATGCTGTGGTGGGCTTCTGAAGAACCACAACAGTTTCTTCTGTGGGTGCTTCATGGGCCACAACCTCTAATGGAGGTTTCTCACCTTTTGGGGTAACTTCCTGAATGACCTCAGAGTCAACTATGATCACATTTTCAGGGATGATCCCAATGATCTTGTCATCTTCAACTACAGCCTCCTCCTTATCTGATATTTCAGGGATAGTTTTGTCTTCCCCAATTTCCTGATCGATCCAATTTAAAGGCTTATGTGTAACAGCGTAATCAGCCTCTGTTGCAACCTCCACAGAATCCTCAAGCAGGCCCCCAACACTTAAAACCTCAGTGTTAATGTGTGCCGTAGACTCTTGATGTGGACCTTTAGTCACAGAGACCGGAGGAACCCAAGAAGTGACCTCAAGATCTACAGTAAGATCGTCTTGCTTGATTGTGATTGTCTCTGATCCAATGATGATGTCACTCTCTCCTATAGTTGCAAAAAAGAAGAGAAAACTTAAAGGAGGAGGACAAAGAAAAGGTAGCATTTTAAGCATTACAACCAAATTCTACAGCAGAATTTTTAAATTTTGCTCACCTTATTGTTGATACACTAATCTCGAATACAACAAATAACAACACCAAAACATTTCTGTATACTGTATATATTTAACTTATCAGATATCCTAAATGGGTTCTTTGTAACAATGAGGGTAAGTATAAAATGCTTAAAAGAACTGAAGAGAAGAGCACCAGTTTTTAAGAAATACTCAGTTTATCCTCGCTATTGCAGTTTTCAGCTTCATAAAACAAGGTGTGTCCTTTGCCTCCTTGTTCCTGCTTGTAATTGACATTGACTGCAGAGCTGAAGAATGTTACTTAACAATGCTAACCTGTGACCTAAAGTTCCACTGGAAGTCTGCCATGTTTTCCCTCTGGATAAAATAACTTCCAGGTCTGCCAACAAGTAACTAATCCTTAAAATGATCTGCTAAAAAAAGGCTGCAATTCATGACTTCTGACAGCAGGGGTTCTGTTGAGAATCTCATTGAGATCTGGGGACTATCATGAACGTCACCGACTTCATGAACCAAGAGTGTCATGAAAACATTCTGCAGTTTTCTTTCTATTGGATGTCAATGTGAAGACCTCATAGCCGATGCACTTTGACAGAAATCATACTGATGATGACATGAAACAAAAACAAGGTCAAAATGAACCATCTGTAGCTGTGATTTCACTAACCCTGATAGTTGTCCTGCAGTAACTCTGTCATGTCCACATTTCTGCTCCCAGTCCTCTACTCAGTCTCCATCCATTGACCAGACAGTTGCCCGTAAATAGGCTTACAGATCTATTCTGAGAGTGGAGCGTGTCACGGGAATCAGCCTCCTGCACCCACTCCTACTTCACATAAGTCAGATTTGGTTGTAAGGTGAGTGACTGCGGCTGCTGACACTTTGTGCCACCAATTGGGGTTTCAACAAAGACTTTCAGTGGCTCGTAAAAGAGTCACCAGTAAGGCACTAATCTGTATGCACATCCAGTCCATAGATTCCTTCAGCTAGTTGTAAAGCCCATTCATGAATATTTGTTAGGGCTATGCCAAAGATGGCAAAACATCCCTAAACTAGAAGTTTTTGGCATGCACAGGGGCTTCTCAAATCAGTATTTTTTTTTTTCAATTTATCAGTTTTAAACCAAAGTCCTGGTGGGTTTATCAACTTCCTTGACCCACAATTTATTAGGGTACAATAGATAATGATAACACCCTTCTCTGTACAAGTTGGCTGAGATATATCTTTGGAGATGCATAAATCAAGTAATCAGCAATGGTCCACCTTGTGTACACGTGTAGCCACATGTTGAGGCTACAGTGAGCCGTGATTGGCTTTTGTCCAAAACGTGTTTCTGGACAAAGCTGAGCTTTCTGACCAAACAGAGTAAAAGGCTCTGTCTGCCAAGTTACTAAGTTACTACCAAAAATATCTTCATGTACTTTGTGTTCTTAAAAAAAAATTGGTCAAAGTTAAGGACGTTTTGAATAACTGGCTGTGACCAGAGCACAGAGCTCAAAAGACAAATATTGCCAGATGAACTGATTACCATGATGGGAATTATTTCTGATACACTGGAAAATAACTAAAGCATCTAGTAGTATCTTAAGAATAACTGCTTATTGTATTAAAAGCTCATTAGAACATTGAAAGGGTAATGGAGACTCCCTGATATCAAAAATATTTACCTGGTGAGATCTCGGTCGCTGCATCTCCAGTCTGAGTGGTCGGTGTCTCTGAGCTACAAGACAAACAGAGACAAAAAGCAAAGCATTTAGCAAAAACGTGATTTATCTCCTCTAGCACTCAGCTGAGAGAAACATCATTTAACCAGTAGGACAGTGCCAGCTTCTTTAATACTAATGCTTTAATACTTCTGTTTTTGTCCTCTTCTGTGATGGTGTGCTGTGAAGTCTAACTTTGTCTAGTAAACAAAGATTTGATGTGCTACAAAAGACATATAAAGCATGATAATGTGACTTCTAAAGGGGAACATCATCTGTTTTAAGGTTTCTATGTCCTTCTTGTTTCCCAGTTTAGTGAGAAGAACAATTTTAAAGTCTCGTATTTATGTCCAACATTTACCAAACCCTACAAGTCCACAAACCCTGGAGCCTCATTCGGTGTCAATGTACACAAAACATCTGTGAATCCTTAAAATAGTTGGCATTCCCCTTTAAATTTATTAAACTGCAACAATTCCCATGCAGCTGGACTGAGGAATTTTTATTAACAAAAACCACACAACTGTAAAATAAATAAATAAACATGCAGCAAGCCAAAGAAAGCAGAGATGATAAACAAGCCACGCACGCGAGCACTTCCCTTTCTCTTCTCCAACCTCTAAAACTGACCAGCGTCCTGCCAGAGTAGAAAGCAACAAAGCTCAGTTTTCTGTCTCTGGGATGGAGTCATTAAAGCTCTTCAAAATCTCTAGATTAGACTAAAGTTGACATTTTTTTTTTTTTATTTTCTACTCTGATACATTTTGATCTTAGTGCTAATGCCAACGAACACTGTCAGATATATGCTGTAAACATAGACATAGTGTTAAATAATGAGTTAACCACTGTTCTTTCAACTGTCTGAACTATGTCATGCATTTATTTACTACACACAGCTCAGAAAGTCTGATGTTTGCCCCTCAGCTGGCTTCCAGAAAAGGGGGTAGGGTGGGGTGGGGGTGTTAAAGAAACAGTTTAGAGTACAATGTCAGTCACATGTGTTTAATCTCTGTAATATTCTCGATATTTATATTTGTATATATATATTAGGACCTGATTTCACTTTGTAATATATACATTATTTAATTTAGTTCAGTCATTTGCCCTCCTTATTGATTTGGAGCAATTTCCTAAGAAATTTATGGAGTATTCTGATTCTGAAGGGCTGCATAGAGATTCAGCAATTATAAATAATAAGTAATAAGTTCTGAAATCCCAGAGTCAGAATATAGAGCACTAAATTAGCAAAATAGGTCTCCTAATTCCACTGTCTGACTCCAGCCCAGCTCTGTGGTTGGTGTTCAGTGTCTGCAGGCCTACCTGCATGGAGTAGGGCTGATGGGCACACTGCAGCAGGTGATCAAACACAACATAGATGTAAATACACAACCACCACTTTTAGTTTTTGAACTAATCACTGCTGGTACAAAAAGTCTAACAAACCATTTACCTCAGTGTCAGGTCCTCAGAAATCTTATTGATTTAATACTGATTAAACTTAATTTAATACTGTTAGGCTATACATAGTGCATAAACTCATAATTTGCTTTGAACTAGCGTTGTACAATGTGTTGTATTGAAGTGAGATATTTTATTTTAAAGACCACAGACTTATTAAGTTAAAAATAATGTTCTAGGAAAGCAATAAACTAAGAATTACATGTATCCATCCATTCTCTTCCACTTATCCAATTCAGGGTGGCGCGGAGCTATCCCAGCTACCATAGGGTGAGGGGCAGGGTACACCCTGGACAGGTCGCCAGTCTGTCACTGGGCCAACACATAGAGACAGACAACCATTCTCACTCACATTCACACCTATGGGTAATTTAGATTCAACAATTAACCTAACCCCACTAACTGCATGTCTTTGGACTGTGGGAGGAAGCCGGACTAATATGGACGCAAATATGGGGAGAACATGCAAAGTCCACACAGAAAGACCCCAATGGTTGAATTATACTTAGGACTTTTTTGCTGTGAGGCAACCGTGCTAACCACTGTGTGACCGTGCTGCTGAATTACATGTAGACTGTTTATAATTAGCAGTATTATCAAAGTTGTTGATTAAGATTTTGTTGCTTGAAAGCTTTCAAAGTTCAAATCGTTAAATAGTCCTGTCTGACCTGACAACATTATTTACTGTTTTTTACTTTTTAAGATATCCATGGACATGACACGTCACTTAGTGATTTGTTAAATTTATATTTGTACAGTTTACACAATAACACATTTGACTGTCTAATTGCTGGTAACTTACATGTTCATTGCAGCAACCAGAGCAACTCTCTGAAATACAGAAAAACACATAATCAGCAAAGAATATCACCAAAATTTACAACTTCCCAAAGAAGCACGAACATGGTTTGCTTTAGCCTGTTAATTTTAATTTAACGTGGATGGGGAAGAATGGAAAACCACAGCAATCTTCTTTTTGTAAATGTATAATGATGAGAACAGTGGAGAATAAAACGTTTTGCACCAATACCACTATCTGAAAGCAGGGCTGCAACTTATAAATATTTTTATTATTGTTTAAGATATCAATTAATGGATCAATTATTAGCTTTAGTGGTGTTCTTACACTCCTGATGAGACTCCGATGCTCCTCTGATTGGCTGAAGAATCTGCCTATGTCCATGACACTGATGGAGCCATCCATGCAGCGGCTCACCCAGCCCTGGTACTCATCCCGCTCGGGCAGCCGATCCCAGAAGATCTTAAAGGCCTCCCAAACTGTCTCCTGACACACTAAAACACACAGAGACACCAATTACTGAAGATAATAAGATCCTGAAAGGTAAAATTTACTGTTGGGTCCACATTAAAAAACAAAAGTTGTCTGTAAGGCTGTCACTTGTCAGGTTTGTGGTCCTCACAAAGCTACATGACTATTTTAGACATAATCTTGCCCAAACAAGCAGCTTTTTGTCTGCCTCCATTTTTTTACTTCAACAACTAATAGCACCCCTGCAAGCTCTGACTGATAGGACTTTTAACCTATATCTGACGTAATGTAAATGTGAAAACTCAACAGGTAAATCATATCAACCCTCAAGTCTGAAGAGAAGAGGAATTATTATGTATTTACTGTGTTGATACTTGCAGAAGGGCTAGCTGCCTTTTATTTTTACTTATATGGACAGTGGATACATCTTTTCTTGAGTGAGTTAAAAATCCCTTTATAATAAGAATAAGTGAATGTTTTCCATAAGCTGCTGAGAAATTTTCCCAGATTTCTTTACTTTTTTGGGGGATGAAAGGGAAATTATCACAGAGGAATCTGCAAAAAGACCCAAGGTGGTCAAAAACAATGGAAATCAAAAAAGAGACTAAAATTAGACTATAAATGTATATAAATATCTGTAATTCCATATGATTAGAGGCTTCTTTAGATAGTGCTCTGTTATTCAACCAAGTGGTGCTCCACTCAAGTGTTTTTGAGAGGGTACAACATTTCCATATTATAAATCCGGTCCACATCTAAAGCAAGTACATTTTAAAAACACCTTTGTCTTCAGGCCAAGATCCATCCACCAACAAAAAAGCCACGGTGCTGCTTCTATTTGTTGCTTTTTGTCACTTTGAACACATTTCTTAATGCTAATCTCCTGGGGCTACAGTGGACATATAGTAGTTGTAGTAAGTTACATAGTAATGTGAATGTGCTCAAAGAAATCAATGAATCTGAAGAGAAAGTGCAATGGAAAAGAAACGAGGCCTAAAAAGAGCTGGAGGGAAAGAAACATGATGGATGGTTGATGAGATGTAATTTCAACCACATCTGCACTTTGAGGGAAAATAATAATAATTCATCTGAGCAGAGCTGAGGTGATTGATGAAACCCTGTAATAACGTCTGTTTCTTCAGCAATATCACATTGCTGTTGCTTTATACAAAGTTTGAACCAAGAATACCCCCCCAAAGGGAAAAAAAACTGAATGTGTGAATGTGTTTAAGGGGTTGTTAGTTATTGGTGTGGGATTAGTTTTTAGTTAGCATCATGCCAGCAGAAACCACGTCCAAGCATTGATGAAATCATAAGCATAACTAATTTTAATGTTATAATCATGCACATGACACAGGAACAGTATGTGATCAGAGAAATTTAAATCAAGGAACAAATTCCAGCAATGAAGGTCAGAAAATAGCATCAGTATAAACGAGGAAATACTTTTTTTTGTTTCTGGCATCAGAGAAAAGAAACACAGATGTTTCATTTGCTATTTAATTAAAAAGATTTTTTGTTCTGTACAAAATGTCATTTATGAGTCTGTTTACATGAATTCAATCAAATCAACAGTAAGATTATGAGGCATGTGAAAGAAATCCTTTCATGCCAAAAGCATTCAGTGCTTGTTTCTGAAACCTTCCCCGTTGTGTTTACTTTGGGCTTTTTTTCCCCATTATTACTGATCATTGTATTATTTTAATATGTTCAGGTTATGAGACGGATGAATTACGAAGCTGTTGTATTTGTGGTTCTTTGTGTATTTGAGTGCATTGTGTTAAATCCTGTTGCATGACTCCTGCCAACATTTGCTGTAACAGCAATAAAGTTAATTTAGCTCATGTGTTGGTCCAGTTTGCTTTGGCTCATTTTGCTGCTATTTTAAAAAAAATCTGAACTTTTTAATGATTGTTCTGTTTCTTTTGACCCAAATAGAGACTGGGACACACAGAGACATGTTTTCACTGTAATAAAGGTTTGAAGCTGATTGTTCACCTTGGAACCATGTGAGCTTTACTCAGTGGTTTCTTTAAGTGCTTATGTCTGTGTTGTTGTGTTAAGGTGTAAGCCATAGCTAGACTTAAATACAGAGAGATGTTTTTTGATTGATATAGAGGGATAAACTTGATTAAAGTAGAGATTTGACTCATGCTTTAAATCTGCTCAAAATCCCAGCAACTCAACACAATTGACAGAACTGAAACCAAAAGGCTGAACGAGCTGATCGGCTTGTTAAGAAACAGTGCATCTGGCGTTGCATGACCTCTGACCTCTGCCACAGAGGTGACAGCAGACTTGCTGCTCAAGCTTATGCTTTGATCAGAGCCTAAGTGAAAACGCTCTAGCTTTGAAGAGAAGATGAAGGGGAAAACCTTGTCGCCTGCAGGCACAAATATCAAAATTAAGGCAGGTGAATCGAAAGAAGTGCAGATGGGCGGAGAGATGTACCTCTGAGATGGAAGTAGCTGAGGTGGTTCGCAATAGCTTGGTCGAACGTCTCCTGAGAGCAAAGCTTGACTCCGCTGGGAAACAAGACGTCCCTCTTCCTTCGAGATAGAGCGCCGTGTCGTCTGTATAACAACTCATCAGAGGCTGCCATTGGCTCTCCTGTAGATTCTCCACTCTCCTCCAAACCCACCTCCAGCTCAAAGGTGGCATCTGTGGTTTAAATTAATATTAGTGCTGCTTTATACTTAATATTAAGGACAGCTAAAGTACATGGTTATGCTTTACAGGTACCTGACTGTTACCTTAAAGTTACTTCATATTTAAAAACAAATTATAGGTTCTGTCTGTTTTTGTCAGGTTTTTTATTTTTTTATTTTATTTCTGTTAGGACCGGAACTAACAGTGCTTTAAATTATAATCACCTAATCAAAATATTTGCCAAATAGCCTTTGGTTGATTGACTAGTTGATAAATTAGTTGATTTTAAGGGAGCAGGTTTAAACTTTATTGAAGGTTATTGTTGCAGTTTGAGTTTGACCTCATTGTAACATAGTAAGTTACCACACTGAGTACCAGAGGTATAATTCTATTGTATTTTCCTCCTTAAACTCTATCCCATCCTTCCCATTTTTAATGTGTCACTGGTCTTCCTTTGACGGCCCATTTGAGGGCCACACCTCCCCAGATTAGGAGCCGCTGATTAAAATGGCTCCAGCAGGAAAACACTACTGAAGATTCGATGTGTCAGGATCAATAATCTGACCAAAGTAAATAGAATTAGTGCTACTCCAAACTTTCACTTGACTGATGGTGCTGTTTTTCCCCTGTTATGCAATTATTCAGCTCATACTAGAAAATTTTTATTAAAAGAATCAAAGCATGTGATACATTGGTCATGACTTTTACTGTGATATTTTGCTGATGACACTGTGCTTTTACTTTGTAAAGCAGCACTATCATTCAGAGCATTTTATCAATAAAAGGAAAGAAATAACTGTTAATAACATCAACATACAGACCTGTTTCCATGTACAAGCAGCATGAAAGCAGCATGGCCCCAAGCACCCACAGCACCAGCTTCCCACACTTTCCAACCATTTCTCAAAAAAAAAAAAAAACACCTCCCCGAAAGATCCACCCTGGACTCGCTGCTCCTTATTTCCACGTTCTCAGCTCATCAGCAACTTCCCGCTCATCCATCCACCAGTTCTCATGGCAGAAGAAACAGAAAAAGAGAAGACAAAAGAGATCCTAAAGTGTGTGCTGTCTGCAGGCCGCTTCCTCTCAGGTGAGCAGATGGGACTTTGCTGCTGCTACCGGAGATTTTTTTCCTCTTCGCTCTAATCCTATTTGTTAAGCTGCTGGAGTGGATGACTGTCAGAGCCACGTTGCGACGGGCCAGTCAGAAGGAAATCAAACAAACAGGCTGTGTCGGGCAAGGAGACAGTGCACAGGGTTAAAACTTAGTGGTAAAATATAGAGTTAAGCCCAAGAAAATGTGAGGCGACAGGTTAAATCCAGACCTAGGTAACAACATTAACCACCACAACCATGCTGAGAGAAACAGAAAATAATCCTAACTAACAAATGACTGAAAAAAAAATTATGAAGCCCTGTCAGATAATCCCGTTTATTTTGTTTTTGTGCTCAAATGCAGCTCTTTAAAGTCCAAGATACATTATCATTAAAATAAATCTTCTACAAAAAAGGTAATTTCCTTAAAATAAAATGAAGTTCCACCAAAACAACTGACATTTGTGAAGGAAAAGTTCTTCTGTGGTGCAGCCAGAACGATGATGACCATAAATGATCCTTTCCTTTATTTTTCTAGGAGCAAATTCCATTTCCACTAAGACAAAGCCGCTGGCTGATTCCAGCTACAATCCAACTCAAATGCACCACAAGTCAGTCAAAATCAATGTACAAACCAGCAATAATCCAGCTAGATTGCATCAGAAATCAATAACCAGAATAGGTCCATAATCCAGTCTGAGACCAGTTTGAATTCAGATGGAATCCTACCAAAGTCTAGTCTGGTTCCATTTTTAGCTCAGTAATTGTTATGTTTAAAATATCTTGCATTTATTTTCTGGAGCTCCATACATTTCCTCTCCACTAAGAAAAAAAATTGCTGTCTGAATACATCTACACTCCAGCCTGGTGAAATATTAACACGACTGATTCTAATAATGACCCTAAATTAGTCTGCTATTTATATTTATGTGCTCAAGTCCATTAAGGCAATTTTGTATCTAGAATACATCATACAAGAATCCAGCGACTGAGCTGAGATTGAGTGGTTGCGTTGAGTGGCGTTTTATAGTCACATTTCTGATCCAATAGGACAAAGTTAGTGTCTGATTCCAGCCACAATCCTGCCAGATTACAATGAAAACTCAAAGAATGTAGCCATAATCCAGTCAATCCATCTGAATTGACTGGTTGTATAAGTGACCATGCATCCTGTACATATTTTCCTGGGGTTATGTCCACTGATTCATATTTTCCAGCAGAATCCAGTCAGAAATCAGCAACATTCCAGGTAGATTACAGCCAAAATCCAACCAGTATATGGTTTCAGTACAATCCATCTTAAATCCAGATGAAGTCAGTGGTGGCAGTGACAACCATAAATATGTCATGTTTATTTTTCCTTGAGTAACATTACAGTCTTCACAGTCATTTAAAAGAAAGGGGTAAAAAAAAAAAAAACACTTAAGTGACACTAAATATAAAATAAATTCTCAAAAGCTCCTGAGAGCATGAATAACCCAGTCAACCCATCTTTACTCAGATTACTTTGTTAGGTTTTGCATTTTTCAGATTATTAATAAGGTTTAAATGATTTATTAATTATATTTTTTATGATTTCAGCGGAATGTGCTAACACGCTAACAGATGTTAAAGATTAAGCTCACAATCGTTTTCAAAACCATTTTAATCAAAATCTTTCTGTATTTTAACATTTTTTGCATTCAATAACAAAAAACATACAAACAAACAAACTACAATACATGACAAAAATCAAACCATTTAATTTTGCATAACATGTCACATGTCCATATTAACATAATTTACATGAAATATACAAAAATTATATGTATTATTATCTTTACATGATCTACTTTATCATATCGATATTTTCTACAGACATAGTGAAGAAACCTAAAGAAACATGCAGGTTGAATGACAACAAACTGAGAAGGATTTATTCGAGCTATGACTTCCAGTTTTCCGTCTTCAGGGCTCACTTAGATTATTTTGGGAGGTCTCATAGGGGCCATAAATCTGTCTAATCTCAACCTCCCATCGCTAAGATTAGCCGGTTCTATGGCCTAAAAAAAAAAAAAAAAGTCAGTCAGTCAATCAGTTCAGTCAAACCAGGACCAGAACCAGAGAAGAGACAGAACAGCCCCAATACATCCAGGACCAACGCCCGAACAAAAGAGGGTTGGACCAAGTCTAGATGTAAGAGATACCAGAGTTCATCCAAGCCTGGGACCAACAGAGGGCCACACTGGGCTGAACTATGACTCAGGAGTCAGGGGCTCCTTAACCAGAGTCAACTGGAACCAAAAAGGGACCAAACTGGGCTGAACTGATGTCAGACCAAGGCCAGACAACAAACACATTTAGGCCAGGAGAGTACAGGCCGACATTTCTAAGGTGTCTTTAATGTTTTTAAATTTTAACAAGTTTATTTTGGTTAGAAAACTTTATTCTCTGACAGCCGTTATGTTGACATGCGGCGGCTCTATGGTGCATCCCACCTCAGTTAAAGTTTTTTTGGGCTCCATAGAGGTGAGTAATTAGCGGTCATTATGCTCATCCACTAATCTTGGCCTCTACTGTGGCGCTCCTGTCTTTAAATGTATAAGCCCTCCTTGAGGCCGGCGCCCCCTCCTGTCTGATCCACTTAATAAGCGGTAAGCCGATTGGTTCTCAGTGGGGGGGGGCGCTCTGCTAAAACCACAGAGATTACCCAACTAGCCCACACAATCGAACGAACACAAAAGCAGACATAAACATGTTTTAACACAGACACAGAAATAAAAACATCGCATCATGTTCGAACAGGAGACGACTAAAACATGAAGAAACGGAGAAAAATAAATTTAAAAAGTAAATTAAAGAAGTCGGAATGCTAGAAAACACCAAGACACTCACTGGTAGTAACCCAGTGACCTCTGACCCCAGCTTAGACAAACACCAAGGACACACTCTCCTCACTTCACTTACAACTGATTACCAATTAATTCATCAATTACACGCTTCACTCTGCAGCACGCCAGCTCCAGGCTTTCAAAATAAGAGCCTGTAAAATTTAAATAAATACTTTTATTTAAAAACCAGGAAGTGTCAGTATAAATTTATGTACATTCACAGACATATAGTTTGACTGAGTGAAACAGGAAGCAGTCAATGAAGCAGCAGCAGCGGCGGTGACGAGTTAGCGGCTCGGTGACGGTTTTGGCTCCTCCTCCTTCAGCTGACTCTGGTGCAAACTCATGATTAGACTCCGGATCTCATCTCGCTTCTGTCGCGCTCGCTGCCGCGGAAACCAGCTCTCCAACCGCAGCGGGATGTCAAAGTGCACCACAGGGTTCTGGAGGAGCCAATCAGAGAGCTCGATTAAGCCTCAGACCATCAGGACATCAGACAAAGCGCACCGTGAAGACGATAACAGAGTGACGCGAAAAAAAGCAAGTTTCTTTAAGTTTATAATTCTAATTAGGGCTACACGATATTAGGAAAACCTGCGATGTGTGATAACTGTGATCAGTACTGCGATAACGATATGACTTGCGATAAAATAAATAGCAAAAAAACAAAACAAAACCCGATACATAATTTCCATTTTACTGCAACAGTTTTATTTAATGAAAGCTGCTGTATTAGCAGTGTAACAACAAAGTGCACTTTAACATTGAAACATTGCCCCCATAAAAAAATTTCTGAGGTTTGAATTCTGAAAGACATCCTGAAAGAATTTGTTTTAAATAAACATAACTTAAATTATACTGCAAATTATCTCAGTGCAGCTGTTCATCATTTTACCACTCACCAAGTAGTTATGATGTAAGTCAAAACTGGAGAGTAAACTTTACTGTAGTTCTTTACTGTAGCTCAATTCAAACATGACGGTCTTGCGGCATGTTTCATACATTTGTGGAATGGCAACATGGGAAAAGTAGTTTCGTGAGGGGATGCGGCATCTCCGGTCCACTTTATGTATCAGACTGGTGAAGCCCTCTCTGCTAACTGTATGTATAGGCATCATGTCTTTGTCACAAAATTTTTAATGGCCTCTGTTATTTCTTTGTACCGCTTCGGCGTTTTCTCTTAAGGAGTTCCACTTGAAAAACTCTGATACTGAGACAGTTGTTGGACTGCTGTGCTCTTTGTCTTAACATTAGCAACCTTTGTTTGGCTAGCCCTGTCTTTCTGGAACTATTCAAACAGTTCTCTGTGGTTGTATTGAAGATGATGGTGGAGATTCGTGGCAACCACCAGAGGATCAGACTAGTGTTCGGCAAGTTTTGCAGAGTACCTGTGTTTGGAGAACGTCGTCTTTATCAAATCCAAAGTACCTCCAAATAAGCGAGGTACTATTTTTTTCTTTTAGGCACGAGTTCATAGTCAGTAGCGTTCTCGTCATGCGTCTCGCTCTCAGCCTTTACAACTCTGACTCGTTGCTGCAGCGTTGTTCGCTCTCCACCTGCGTATGAAGCGGGCCTCTAATCCATTTGATTGGTTAATGCCGTTAAGGGCTCTGTTCGACTGGTCAAATGTGTAAAGGGGATTCTTTGATTGGTAATTTTTTTAAAGCACGTGTGTAAACGTTTTAAGGTACCCAATTATCGCAGTTTACGCCGTCTTTTGCGATGGGCCCATTGCGCAGGCTGATATTGCGATGACAATAAATTTTCGATTTATTGTGCAGGCCTAATTCAAATATTATTTTTAGTCATAACGTCAGAAAAACGCACTTGAAATACGATTCAACACATTTACCCTCAAAAAACATAACAAATAAAAGGAACCTAATTAATATTTTCTTTACCAGCATCATTCTGTGATTTTACACATTTTTTCACATATTTCAATAGAATTTTTACGGTGTGATAAATATTATTATGATACAATTTATTAAAACAAAAAAATGCCAAAAATAAATAATTATTTGGAGACTTTGTTTCACATTTTTATAATTACAATTTATTGTTTTCTAGATAATTAAATACATTCTTGACATGCTTCACACAGTTTATTACTCTTTTGTTCTCTATATCTTTTGTTAATATTTTGTTAAAAATATTCACACCTGTGTGTTTTTTTGTGTGTCTGTCTGTCTGTGTGTGTGTTCACCTGTAGAAAGCTCTCGACATACTGCAGCAAATAGAGTCCACAGTCGCTGCTGTTGTCCTGCTGAGGGACTCTGCAATTGAAGCTCTTCATGGTGTCGGACGTGAACAGACGAGGCGACTTCCTGCGGACCTCCCACTCCACCTGCAGGTAGCTGAACAGAGAGAGGACCTTTAACCCTGCAGCTTGGTGGGTCACAGTTAAATATGTTCAAATACCACAGGGACGTGAAAGCAACTGTGACACTAACTTAAAACCCCAAACATTTTTACTCAGTGAAACTAAGTCTGTGCGTGATTAGTTGATCAATAATATTCCCTCACTTTATTAATTTGCAATTGACATTGATTTAGGTAATTGTGTTGACATCATAATACCTTTTAATTAATTTTTGGTGCATGTATTAAGCATTTCTTTCATTATTTCTTTATTTATTTTTTGTACTTTTATTTAATTCTTTATATAATATTATTACATTTAATAATATTACCGTATTTTTCAGACCATAAGGCGCACCAGATTATAAGGCGCATTAAGCAAAGCAATACAGTCAAATAAGTCAAACTTTACTCAACTTATTCTTCTTGCTTCCTCCACTTCCGTACCATTGATGTATTAATGTTGAATTCTCTCGCTGCTCTATTCCCATGTTGTTGCAGTATATTAATGACTAACCTCGTATTGTGGATGGATTATCTCAGTTGTTCTCCTGACTGAAGTTTGGTCTGTTTACAGCATCCTGCCATCAGATTGCATTTGTCCCTAACATCAGGCACCCTCTGGAACTTTTATGAGTGGTAAAAAGTTAGCGTTCATCCACCAGCTTTACTGTGTTTATGTTATGCTAACATAGCTGTGTCGCTAGCCATCACATAACACATCATTATACAGGGAGTGCAGAATTATTAGGAAAATGAGTATTTTGTCCACATCATCCTCTTCATGCATGTTGTCTTACTCCAAGCTGTATAGGCTCGAAAGCCTTCTACCTATTAAGCATATTAGGTGATGTGCATCTCTGTAATGAGAAGGGGTGTGGTCTAATGACATCATCAGGTGTGCATAATTATTAGGCAACGTCCTTTCCTTTGGCAAAATGGGTCAAAAGAAGGACTTGACAGGCTCAGAAAAGTCCAAAATAGTGAGATATCTTGCAGAGGGATGCAGCAGTCTCAAAATTGCAAAGTCCTAGAAATCTACAAACCTTTATTAAAAATGCTGCAGTGTTCGTTTGACTTTGGGACCTGAGGCGGACGTAGTTTTGGACCCAGATTACTCTGCGAGGCTCCTCACTACAATAGCTGTAATGCTCCAACAATCCATCAAGCGGTGCAGCTTCATAGCTTACCAAAGTCGTACTAAAACATTTTTTGATAGACTTTTGAGCGCCGTGTTCCACATAAAATCAGTTCGAGGACAGTAAGCACAACCAGAATTCATACACAAGGCACACTGTCGATTTTTGAGAAAATTAAAGGAAATTAAGTGCGCGTTATAGTGTAGAAAATACAGTATATAATGTTTTTCATATTTTTATGGGATCCTAAATATTTTCAACAATTTATTACATTGGAAATAAAACAAATTATACAATTATTTTAGAAATTGGTTTAAAATATTTTAATTGTGTTAACTATGTTAATATTAAATATTTCATTAAAAACTAATATAACATTACTGATAAATGTGGGTTTGGTTTGTTTTCTGTCCTCTGTGCGTCCTGAGGTGGAACTCACTCTCTGATGAGTCTGCAGACGTTGTCGTGGTACGACAGTTTCAGTGAGTCCATGACCAGGAGGCACGGCCTGCAAACAATGACAGTGTTACACAACCATGGAAGGAAACTGGACAAACTGCAAATAATACAAAAAAAAAAGAAGAAAAAAAAGAAAAAAAAATGAAAACGGTCCACAAATATAAAAAAAACTGAACAAAAAAGGAATAAAAGCTGGGGGAAAAATGGAAATCTGCATGAAATGTCACAAAAGTAATGAGAAAAAGCAAATAAACTCAAGAAAAATGAAGAAGAAAAACATGAAAAGAAACATCATTGACATGTGTCTGGTAAAATAAGGAACAGAAACCTCCGTGATTGAAACGAAATGATGTATAAACTTGATAAAATCTGTCATATGGGGAGAAAAAGTGACAAGTTAAATAAAAAAAACAAAACTAGAATAAAATCTGATCATTTCTGATTGATTTCGATGTAAAATCTAATGTGGGTGAACTCTGACCTCTTTAAGACTCTGTCCTTCTTCCAGCCCTGCTCACTGGACTCCTGCAAACACACAACACAGTTACTCAAACCCAGGATTTTAAAACAAAAACGGAGAAAAACATCTCAGTGATTGTAAAGAACGCTGCATCTCCTCCTCTTCAACAGCATCAACTAACCATCACATTTCACATTCAACACAAAGGTCAGCCCATGTTTTCCCAAACAGATCTCACTAGAAGATTCAACACTGAACTGATCATCTGAGCCAAATAAACTGTGTGAACTAATGAATGTGCAGCGTGAAATCTCAGAGGATCAGTTTTACATAAATATAAATAAACAGTGTCGTCACAGCTGTATGAAACGAGGTGGAAACCCTCCACAGACTGAGGACACCTGCTGCATTTTGATGGATTTACAGTCTGTACTTACACTTTAAATACCAGGTACTGCTTAATTACTGTGAAACCAGTGGTAACTTTAACATGTAATTACAGTTTACTACAATCAACTTCATACCTAAAGTGAAAAAGTATATTTAAACGGTAATTAAAGGGTAGTCAAGTTCAAGTTTGATTACAATAAAGTTACTGCTCATCAGTCTGTGTAATCAGTGGAGCTGATCTATAATTACAGTATGTTTACACTGTACTTACAGTATATGTGGATTATAATTAAAGTGTAAGGGCCATAAATAAAGTGCCTATGAAATTAGTCCTGTACTTACAGTCACAGTATATGTTGGTTGGTTTTTTTTTTCCCAGTAAGTTTCCCCATTGCCAGGTTTCTAAAATTTTATTAAGAGACCCTCACGACTCATCGAGTGACACCACTGATTAGCCAATCAGTGACATGGAGTCTGTTGATGTCACTTTCTCAGATCAGCTCAGAACACTTAGAATCCTGGCTGAGCAGGTAATACTGAAAAAATGGTTATTTATTGCTGACGGAAGGTTGCCAGTGGACATTTCAGGCTCTGGTAGCCTAGGTAACCGTGTGATGCATTTACATGTGAGTCAAGGCTATCCTTTCACTCTCATCATTCCAGCTTCAGTTGCTCACATCAAAGTTGAGAAACATTTTAGACCAGGGGTGGGCAATCTCAGTCCACGAGGGCCGGTGTCCCTGCAGGTTTTAGATCTCACCTTGGGTCAACACACCTGAATCACATGATTAGTTCGTTACCAGGCCTCTGGAGAACTTCAGGACATGTTGAGGAGCTAATTTAGCCATTTAAATCAGCTGTGTTGGTTCGAGGACACATCTAAAACCTGCAGGGACACCGGCCCTCGTGGACTGAGATTGCCCACCCCTGTTTTAGACCCACACATGTCACAACCTGAATGTCACCGGCTTTCTGTGGTCGTGACACAACTGGATATTTACACCACACTGAAAGCAATGACAGTGTATGAACTTACTGGTGTCTGCTGCGACACGAGACTAGAGTTTGGCTTTCCCACAGCTCCGGATTTCCCTGCAACGACAACAAAAACACATTCGCGTCTACATGAGCAGCTCTAAATAAAACTACATGTGAGGTTAAACATAGAACACCAAAGAAAAAAAAGATCAATGAATGAAATGGAAAGATGGTCAAAGAAAAAAAAAAAAAAGGAGAAATGAGCACAGATGATGAACCAGATGTGACCTCCAGTTTACTACGAGCTGATTTATAGACCATAAAGATTCAAAAATGTCTAAATGGGTCTTTAGTGGAGAACATATTTAAGTCTGGAACATTTAATCCTTTAATTTTGGGTGTCAACTTTGAGCATGGTGTTTTAATCAGCGCTGGCGAACATTGTGCCCCAAATACCCTAAAACGCTGCCTCCCAGAGGGACGTAAACACCAGTATGTCTGGTGCCCATTAGAGACGCTCTGCTGAACGTGACCAAAGCCACAGCTTTCATTCAGCCACAGAGACAAAAACCAGGTCAGCTCACCTGCTCGCCTCTGAAACTCCTCGTACCGAGCCTCCTCCAGACCTGGGAAACACACCACCACCAGGTACCAGTGAGCTCTGCCAACACAAAACCACAACATACAGCTGAGGAGAGACGGACAGAAAAACCCAGAACCAAAGCTAAAAACACACACACACACTCATGGTTTAAATATTTACAAAAAAAAAAAAAAGAGGAAAAAAGTCAAGACTGGAAAAATGTGGTACAACTGAGCTTGTACAGAGAAAAAAAAAAAAGAATGTGTAAGAAAACAAAACTACACAAAATAAATAAGAAGGTCAAAGAAAAGAAAAATGGACATTTTGCACTAAAAAGTTTCATAAAATACCAGTAAAAGAAAATAAAAAAATAATTGAATTAAAATTTAGTTAAAAAAAAAAAAGAAAAAAAGAAGAAGTAGTGGCTACCAAATAAATACATGTGTTAAAAAATTAATGTCCCAGAAGAAAAAAAAAAAGAAAAAAAAAAAGCATAAAAATGGCACAAAACCACAAGAAAAATGGCCTTAAATGTCACAATAATTAATAATGTAATAAACAAAAACAGAAAGAATAGTAAGAATATTTTAAAACAAAAAAAATACATAAAACATTTTTAAAAATAATGAAATAATGTGAAAAAAAAATGGATAGTCCCACTGAACAACCTCAAAATCAGCAGACGTTTTATTCAACAGTAATAATAATTTAAAATAAATGTTGGTCTCCATTTTATAATGATTAATAATGGGACATTATAGACTATGTGCACGTTAGCATATGCTACTTCCAGTGTGGAAACTCCTGTGGGGAGCTTTGTTTCCGGTGTCCTATTTGCGCCTCGTTCACAATCCAAAACAAGTTAAGCAAATGAATGAATCAAGTGGAGATTTACATTTCTATAGATGTCTTGGGCATTTATCCAATATATCTGTAAATTATGTTCATCGACTTGTTGATATTTTTTCCCCCGCGCCTCAGGGATTCAAATTTTGTATTTCTCAGTATCTGTAAACAGCTGTCCCTCATTTATCGCGGGTGTTATGTTCTAAAATTAACCAGCGATAGGTGAAATCAAGTAGCCAATTTTATTTTTTGACAGTGCAAAACATTTCGTGGACATACAGTACTGCACTTCAGAGTCGCAGGGATTCTGTACAGTACAGGAGAGACGTCACGGAGGAGATCATCTGCAGCGATCAGGACGCAGGACACAATGTGACGTAAAAAAACAAAAAAACAAAACAAACCCAAAACATGAAAACTTGCACTAAAAAAAAAAATCTGCGAAACAGCAGGTGAAAGGAGAACCACGTTATTAGCGAGGGACCACTGTAATTTTGAAGGTAAGTCACAACATACCCTTCGTAAATACTAATGTATAGAAACCCTTACCAGCAATCATTCATTTTTTGTGTGGCTTTTTTTCACGGTTTGTTAACATGCTGTGTAGGTGTGTACTTGACTAGCTGATATCGACATAACAGGGAAACATCTGGTTTGACTATTCTTCACCTGTAGTTTGAATGCTGAACATTTGCCTGTTTAAATCATAAGACCAGTCACTATACAGAGATGTGCTTCTGAATGTGGACGATGTGTCTTCTGCATGCAGTGATGCAGTTCTGCTTGTGTTGAGTGATGTAAACAACTGATCGATCTGAACTCTTTAAACATCAAAATTGATCATTAGATTTTTTATGACACAACAGCGGTGAGTGTTCCCACCTTCTGCTCTTTGTAACTTAACGCAATCTTTCCGTTTTCGAGTTTTGGTCATGATTTTGGAGTATATCTTTGCAGTAGCCCTACATCCGGTCTCAAACCAGGAAGTTAGCATTTTCTCGTGCACAGGGTCTATTGAAACTGTGACGTTGGTGCTGAGAGCTGACCAGAGGAAAACAAAGCCAGGTTTTCTGTGGTTGTGATTCTGAGTGGGAGTTAAACTGATTTGGTTGCACTTTTTTTCCCCCTTTTTAAAAAAAAAAAAGAAAAACAGAGTTTAATGTGTTTTTCAGGCCTGAGTATTTCATGTGGATATCTGCTGTATGAACGTATGAAGGTGCCACATTAACACTGCGCCTCTGAAAATATTCTCAGTGTGGAGGTAAAATGTCGCCTGGCCTCGTTAAAAACACGAAGGAATGGTGCAAAGATGCCGTAAAAGCAGCCTGAGGTTTAAGATGTCCTGAGCAGGTCTGGATGTTAATGAGGACCCTGAGGGGGGGGCTGGGCCTGGGGTCAGAGTGGAGCGACAGTGGAGGAAGCGTCTCTGGTAAAGCCATCACGTGCGGCCAGTTGGCAGGTACGCGCGCTGATGAGGTGCTCGAGTGCAGCTTTTATTGAAAAGTGGCGTCTCTGAATGTGGGGCGAGGAGCTGAGGTCAGTGCGGGCGGCTCCAGGAGGTTTTATTCCAGCTGACCACAGCGCCACTGTGAAGGTGGAGGAGAGGGACTTACTCTTGATTGACAGGCACGAACAGGAAGTCTTTGGTGAAAATGTCCACGTGGCGAGTCCACGTCTTCACCCGCTGGTGCCGCGTGTGACGGTCACTGAGGACACATGAGCACAGAGACACTCAGACATCTGAAACCTCGCACACCTTTTTTTTTTTTTTTTTTAAATAAAAGATGCACACGCTTGCTCGTACGGGACATAGGGGGCGGTGCCCTCGCCGGCCGCTCGCCGTCTGCTCAGCTGCTTGTAAAAGAAGCTGCTGAAGATGTGACTCCTCTCAGCCACCGAGCCGCCAACGCCCTCCAGGAGGAGATACCTGCAGCACAAAGAAGGAGGGGAGGGGGACCCCTGCAGGTGACCAGCAGCTACTACAACCTCTGAAACCTCTGAGGGAGGTGGGCGGAGGAAGGAATCAGGGTTGGGGGGGAGAAAACAGTGAAGAAATAGGGAAAAAAGAAGGAAGGAGGGAAGGAAGTAATGAGAGAGGAAAGTATAGAGGGAAGAAGGAAAGTAAAGTAGAAATGAAGGCAGAAGGAAGGAAGAATAAAAAAGGGGATGAAGGAATCTGGTAAAGAGGTAAGGAATGACAGAAGAAGGAAGGAAAAACAGAAGAAAAGAAGTGAAAGGAGTGGAAGAAGATAAGAAGAAGAAATTGGGGAAGGAAGTAAAGAGGAAAGTAAGGAAGTAACAAAGAAGGATGATGGAGAGATGGAAGAAATGAAGGAGGGATCAAGGAGAAAAGGAAGTGAAGAAATGAAAGAAAGAAGGAAGAATGCAGAGAAGGTAGAAAGGAAGGGAAGCGTGAGGGAAAAGAAAGAAGCATTAAGAGGTTAGGGGGCAGGGAAAGAGGGGAGGAATGTAAAGAAAGAAAAAAGCAAAGGAAGCAAGGACAAGTGGACAAACTGACTTGAGGTAGAAGTCAATGATGACATCATTGAGGAACTCGCCAGCATCCAGACAGGCCAGGTCCTCCTTGGTCACGGTGATGCGGCCTTTGCAGGGGGCCACGGGGTACTGGATCAGCCTGGAGACCAAACTCAGGGTTAAAGCCCATATATGTAGTGTTTGTCCTGGTTATACTGGTTATACTGGTTTTACCTGGTGGGAAGACCAGCAGAGTTTAGGCTGGACTTGTTTCTCTGACCTCTGCTCAGTTGATTCGACCTCTGTCAGGAAACACACATCTGTGACTTTTGACCTTTAATAGTAACGTTTTGTGACAGACTGATTAGTTTGTGTATCAGGTTACAATCTGTGTCTCTTTATTTAATGATCTGTTTTCAACCATAACTTTTAGTCTCATAGTCTGTTCTGATGGCGTTCAGCGCCACGGCAAGAGCAGAGGAGCTCAGAGGAGGTGAAGGGAGAGGACGAGTCATCTCTTACCGTCGAATGTCCCAGCAGTCTGAGGAGGTGCTGGTCCACAGGAGGAGGACAGCTGTGGAGGAGCAGCAGCCCGTTGGCCCAGTCCAGAGGGGAGGCCGGGCCTTCAGAGGAGGAGGGGGTGGCGACTTTGTACTCCTCCATGTCGAGGATGGAGGCCAGCAGGGCGGCCTGGAGCTCCTGCAGCTGCTCCTTCAATAGCAGGAGGATGAAGCAGCATGGAGGACCTACAGAGAGTAGGAGATGCCAGGTTATCCAACATGAGTACATTAAAACCAGTTATAAACAGACTGGTCCAGGATCAGCCCAGTCAGCCCAGCGCTGTGATGTCATTGAGCACTATGAGCCCAGTTGAACCAGTGAGAGCTCTTCTATTCTCCCAGTAAACACCAGCAGCAGCTCTCTCTCTCTGTTTCCACCCGCAGGTCTCTCTGGCCCCGTACAGATGACCTCACAGCTGGAATCGGTACACTGTGCCTCCGGCTTGCCACGATTGGCCGATGGCTGGGTATGGAGCCCTTTGATTGGCCGGCAGGGGCCCGGCCCAGCGCTGCACGGCTGCAGAAGTAAATTTTCCGTGAAGCCTCAGAGTGAAGCTTTGATATTGGGCTTTGTGCAGAGATCCTGTGTGAGGCTGATGGATCACTGCATGGGGAAAACAGCTTGACTCTGTAACAGTTTTATAATTGAATCTAATAAACCGACTCCAGCCCGGTTATCCTTATCCTCTGAACACCACCTCAGACTCTGCAGGTTTCCCTGGGAGGAGGTCGGGCTGGTTTGGTGATGTAGAGTGAGCGCTCGCTGCAAGTTAAACTGGGAAGCAGCTGAGTGGAAACTGTGCGGTGATGGAAACTGAGCAGAGCAAACATCAACCGGAGCTTTAACCCTCGCCTTACCCGAGCAGCAAGACGAGGAGGAAGAGGAGGTCTGGATGGAGGACAGCTCCTTCTGCAGCAGGTTGGCCTGAGCATCCGTCACCCACAGGAAGAGCAGCGAGGGGGCGGGGCCTTCCCAACCAGCCAGCAGAGTTCCACCACGGGCCACGCCCCCGTCCCATAGGCCATAACCCCGAACCTGAGACGCCACCACGCTGACCTGACACTCATCCACCCCTGAGAGGAAAAAAAAAATGAATTAATTTGTCTCCTAATTCTGACTTTTTAAACTCATCTTCATCTAATAAACTGTGACTTTAAACCCATGATTTCACCTGATCATCTAACATCTGTCTGATGGAAAACAAGAGGTCATAACATCTGTGGAGCAGTGAGACCTCCAAGAATGAAGTGTTGAAAAGATGGCAGTAAAAGGAGTGTTTTTACTGATGCAGTCTCCATGTTTAACAAATCAGGTGAGACAGCAACTTGTCAATCACAGGTAGCTCCATCTTAAATCCTTTAAGACTAATGAATCCATCATTTACAACATGAACATCCTGTTTTATTGAAGAAGGCTTTAAAACACAGACCGAGACCACAAACCCATCAGCTAAGTGTTTACTGAACTCTCAGTGAGAAGTCTTCTACACTAAGAGACGTTCAGGGTTTGAGAAGCTACATCCATCTTTCCTCACAGACACCTGAACGCTTCTTCCAGCTTCTTCCTTTAGAGGTCACCACAGCGGCTCACCTGCCTCCATCCAGCATGAAATCATAAACGTTGCACTTTGTAAATCAGAATTGTCAGTTTCTAATCATTACGTGTGGGCGCGCGCGCACACACACACACACACACACACACACTAGGGGTGCAACGATATTCGTATCGATATTGAACCGTTCGATACAGTGCTTTCGGTT